TTCGAACAAACGAACGAACGTTCGTCAATTTTTGAAGCGCCCACGAACGAACGAACGAACAAAATTCGACTTTTTTTCAAACTGTTCGTGTTCGTTGACACCTTTAATAGCGACTAGGTGTCTTCTGCTCATTTGTAGTTCTTTTTATTTTCTACAATAACGCTGAAGACACCCAGTCGCTATCTCTTTTCAGTAGCGAGAAAAATGCAAAAAACGTCTTTTCCACTCGATACTGAGTTGTATCACTTTTGTTCGCAACTTTATTTGTCTATCTTTTGCCCTAAGTTTTTTTCCGTTTCAGTTATGGATAAAGAGGTCATAAATTGTTCTTTCATTCTATGGGTGTCAATTGATTTAGTTGAACCATGTGATCTTTAACGATTGATTTACTTTTTTGGCACAATCGAACATTTTATCAAATAAATCTAAAATCTGATGAAAATTAATTAAAAAATCATCATTTTCTCGAAGTTTCAGCCAAGTTTTTTTTCCTAGCCCCACATTCAATTGTACCCGAGACAGACAAATCAAAATCATCGAAGTTTCAATTCAGCGCCGGTTCAGCGAAATGCCCACACACCGCAAAAAGAGTACCGCTAAGAAAGTCTACCCATCACCATTAACAATCACACCGACGCAATTGAACAACGATCTCTGTTTGCAGTATGCATATCTCTATGCGAAACCAAAACGCCAACAGGTTTGAATTTCATTCATCTGGTTTCGTCTGGTCATTTTGTCCTGAAAAAAAAATGTGATGATTGAATAAGGTTTTCTTCCATTCAAATCGATAGCGCATGGACACCAAGACTGTTTGTCAGATGCAAGAATTGATTGGGGTCAAAATGAGAGAACCAGATGGAAACATTTTGGATGATGCGTTTATTACAAATTTTCGTTTGCTCAAGGTAAATTTCTGTGGATTTTCCGTCTCCATTTTTTCATTGGTACATTCAAGATTTTAGAAACTCATTCGGTTTTAATGAGTGTAAGAAGAGTATCTTGATGACGTAGATTGAGATGAATTTCTGGATGAAAATTTCAAATGTCAATATGCCATAGGCACAAGTTCAAAGCTGTAATAGCAAGCCTTAAGAATCAACAATAAACGGTTCACTTTTGCAGGATATCGATGCAAACATTTTTCGATCCATGACAAAGACATTGTTCAAAGCGTTGGTCTCTCAACCGATACGTTACCCATTCCTCACCAAACTGACCACAGAATGGCTTGAATATGCAAATCACACATCGATGGCCACCAAAGAACGCTTTTTCATGGAAAATTTGAGTATATTGTGAGTAAAAATTGAATTTTTCTCCGTTTTTGACTTGACATTTTCTTTTGGGTGTCGATTCAATGGCTTAGATTAGAAATTATTCATATATACATTTCTAATTCTGACCATTTCCAAACGATTTATTCAGAATTTTTAAGTTTTTTTCAAATGGTGAATTCAGAATTGTTTTTCAATTGTTGTTTGTTTCAGTCAAACAATGGCGCAATTCATCCCGAAAATTGGTTGCTATTCATTGCAAGTGCGGATTCTGAAGATCATCTTTAGTCATTTGAAGTCTCCACAAGAGTACGTTAAGGTGTTGTTCAAGCCCTTGATTGAGGATCACCCACATGGCATTTTCTGCCGATTGGAATCGTACAACACACTCAGCGATCGACAGAAGCAGATCATCATGTACCGTGACATCCCAAATGATTTGAATAAAAAAGCCAAACGTGTTTTCTCAAAAGTCTTGCGATATTTGTACTTTGACAATAAGGCTATTGCGCCGTATCCGGTGAGAAATTGCAATTTGATTCATTTGGAGGAGCAAATCGATGAAACTTCAATCGAATCCAAAGTTTTTTTCCATTCTTGAAGCATTTTCGCTTGTTTGTTCCACCATTTTCGGATCATTTGTTTCAAGTTCATCAAAACACTTTACTAACGTTTTTTTCCTTGCATATTTCAGAGTCATGAAGGTTTTTCTGATTGGAATCTCGGGACAAAAACTATCGAATTCTCGCTTAACCTGAGCGGATTTGAGGCAAAGACCATGATTGACAGTGACAATCTGGAATCTGTGCAATATGCAATGTAAGCGATTTATTCTTCATATGTACTGAACCCAAGCAATTTGTATGTAGAATACTTCCGACGTGCTCAATGACTCGACTTTCTTCAGTGACGCTTCTACTCCTAAACGCTGAAGCCCACAAAGAAAATGCAACGATTCATTGACAATTTTAATTTTTTGATCCATTTTTTAATACACATATTCAATAATTATTTTGTAGTGGCCCACGACACAACCAAGTTCATGAAATCACATTCACGCTCAGCGAACCGTTGAATTTGAGTTGTGATTCTAATCCGAGTCTTTCTGGTCGTCGATCAGTGGCAAAGGTCAAAATGATGTTTGATACGTTAGAGGCACACGAGGTCGAAAAATTGTTCTTTAAAATGGTAAGATTCTTATGGTCAAGAGTATTTCTTACTGTAAGAAATTGCAATTGATAAAAAACGCATGCGATAATTAAACGCTTCGATTCAGTTCCCCAACCTTGCCACATTCAAAAAGGATGGACAAGTGAAAATGGCGAAACCAGCTCTTCACACCGTTCGCGACACGCACATGGGAGAAGTTTTCATTTCGACACCACCTTCGAGCCCGCCAAGACCGTTTCGAAAATTACGTGGCAGTCCAAAGGACATAGATCCATCGGAATATTTCGTAAATTTCAATTGTTTTTTTTTTTGGGGAAGTTCTTAAGGCAAAGTGTTGTTCTTACACACATCAACTCGTACTCTGTGCTTCAAAATACTTTGTGTTGAACTTTGCCGAATATGTTTGTAATGGAATTTAATCGAACAAATTGATAATCTTCAGAAAAACACCGAATATTCGATCGACCAAGATGAACATCAACCAGTCCAACTGGAGCTCAAACACTCAGACAGCGAGGTAGAACCACCGGTAAAAGCCAATGATGAACCGAACCAGAAACAAGTAACACCCACGCGATCGACAGAGAAACAAACGACTCGGAAACCATCGAAACAGAAACAATCGAAGAAAACTGCTGACGACACCGTCGTCAGTAATGTAAGTCACAGCTGCTCATTCATGGACCTTGAATCAATGTTTTTCCTTTTGTTTCAACAAATCGAATGAAATCTTTTCACAGAGTAAAAAGAATAAAGCGAAGGCAGAAAACACTGCCACAATCCAGGTGTACATAGAAGGTGATTTCGCAAAAGCAATTCGAAAGGCGAACGCCGCTCGAAAGGCAGCCACTCCAAAAAA